TAAAACAGATAAATGCATAAAAAACAGAAAGTAGATTAGTGGTTACTAAGTGGGAATGAGGAATTATTACTTAATAGGTACAGAGTTCTGTTAAAAGTGATGAAAAAGTTTTGGAAATAAAAATGGTGATATGGGAGCAAAAAGTCCCCCTTGACTCCCTTAGGCACTTATATTATCAAAAGAGAAGGAAATTAAGCCTTACTAGTTTTTAATATATACTTCCTAGGTAGTGCAAATGGTTAATGTGCTTGCTGCTAACCAAAAGCTTGGAGGTTTGAGTCCACTCAGAATCTCCTCAGAAGAAATGCCAGTGATTTACTTCTGAAAAATCAGCCATTGAACATCTTACGAAGCACAGTTCTACTCTGACACACATGGGGTCACCATGAGTCGGAATCCACTCAATGGCAACTGGTTTGGTTTTAATATTTAATATATGGATGAAAACGCCATCTCTGTCAGCCAGTTACATGTCACATATCACAGTCTAGCTTCAATCCCCTCACTTGCGCCTTTGCTGTAACATACTGCAGTTTGTGTGTGCCCTATAAAGTGTATTTAGGGATTATATTATTTACTTTGAACTAACCCTTCAAAGAAGCTATGAACTAAAGATAATAATGAAATAAGCAAACTTTGAAAATGGCAGATGTAATACTTTTATGTATAAAAATGGTATCATTTAAGACAAGCCAGCCAAAAAAATAAGAAATAGAAATTATCAAGACTACCTGAAATAAGGAGTCAATCCATCATCATTAATGATGAACCTCACCCTAAATATATAGTATGCCTTGGTATAGTAGCTAAAGATGGCATGAAGCCATCAAAATTAGCAAGACAGTTAAAAACACTGTTTTATTTTGTCTATCCCATCCTTTTACAATTTCTATATTTTGTGTGTATGTTTTATATCTAATAGACTAGTATAGTATTGCATATGTATAATTTATAAATAAATAGATGCATATGATAGACAACGGAGATGTAAGCTCAAAACTTTAGAAATGCATTTTCAAAACAGTTTAGAGAGCACTAATTTATCGAATTATTTCACTTGCTAAATGTTTTCCTCCTCTGGTCCTTGTTTAATTCATCTTTTTATCATCAGATATTAGCACAGTGACTAGAATAAAATACACTGTCAATAACCATGATGAATGGATATATCTTTCCTAGTATTCTGTGACCAACAGATATGAAGATGTACGAGTCCAGTCTCTTCTGTAACCTTCAGATGTTACAAAAGCCTTGTAATGTCATATGAAATAAAAGACTTGCAGAAGGGAAAAAATGTAACAATGATCTAGGTCAGGCTTTTTTAATCCACATTTGATTAGTTCCAACAACTTTATAAATTTCTTATATGAAATACAGCTCAAGTTACCTGTGAATATAAAATTAAAGAACTTTTGTTACTGGAATGTTAAATACTTTAAATCAATTTCATTACCTATACGTTTTATTTGCTATGAGTCAGAATTGACTCAATGGCACACAACAACAACGTTTTATTCACTGATCAGCACTTCTGTTGCCACTGATAAACCCTCAAATCAAGCAATCTGGCTCCTCAAACTATAAGCATCTTCAATTAAATTAACTTCATATCTTAGATTAAAAAACCACAGTGCTTGCATGTACTAGTTTTGGCAAACAATTTAAAATAGAGAAACTTTCCTTACCACTAAAATTCATACTCCATGGAAAAATTTCCTTATAGCACTCTGCACATAACTCTATTATAGTATCTTTCAGACTGTATTAAAGCTATTTTAAAATTTGTCTGTCTCCTCTTCACTAGACTAAAATTTCTCAAGGGCAGGAGCACAAACTCAGACATCTTAAAAAAGTAATAGCATATGTTTTTTGAAATGGACCAACTCGTCTGCTTAAAAAATTTTTTTGTACCTTCATGGCACACAACAACAACAACAACAACATCCACTGCACATTGATTAATGCAGTTCAATACAGGAATCTGAGTTCAAGGGAGAGGTCTAGGCTGGAGATATAAATTTAGGAGTCATCAGCATATAGGATAATGACTTGAGGATAGGACTGAGGGATAGAATACTCCAACCTTTTAGACACCTGGAAGATGTGTAAGAACCCACAAAGGAAACTGAGACTGAGTAGTCCGAAAAGTGGGGGGGAGAGGGGGGCAGCAGGGGTGGACAAGTATGATATCCTGTAAAAAAAAAGTATTTCAAGGAGGAAGGCAAGATAAACTGTCAAATATCACTTTGGGTCACATAAGATGATGACTGATAACTGGCACTGGATTTAGCACATTTCCAATGATTCCCAGGAGCTGGGAGCCATAGTTTGGTAGGTAACCCCAGAGTCCGTGAATAAGGTGGCCAACGAAAGTAAGAATCCTAGTTACGAAGAAGTGGAAAGTTCAGGAAACTGATAGTGACAGAAGAGAAAACTGGGTGGCTGAATAGCAATGATAGAGGTGGAAACTCTACGGTATGAAAACCATCTGTGGAGGGACTAGAAACTGGGGAGAAAGGCAGAACTAAGATACTCTAACAGAGGTAGTAAGTTATCCTATGGAAAGGACACAGGCATTGGAATCAAATAGTCCAAAGGAAATTATGTGTTAAAAAAAAAATCTTAAAACAAGGATTCCATGCCCCCCCAAAAGTATAGATTGTCACCCTTGAGTATTACATTCTTTTAAAAAATTATCTATGTAAAGCCAAATAAACAACAGCTATTTTAAAGCATAGATGAGAAGGGTGGGGGGCAGGGAGTTTAAGTCAAGGAGAGTGAAACAACTAGAACAGAAATGACGAGAATGTTGACCCAATGTGAAAAATGTAACCAGTATCATTGAACATTACGTCTAGAAACTGTTGAATGGGACTAGGTTTTGCTGTGTATATTTTTACCAAAAATAAATAATACTTTAAAAATAAAAACCAGTCCAATGATTCAAGGACAGGCTCTGATACTAGCTGTTATTCTAGCATACTGCTGAAGGCCTTGCCAGGTCTGGCCCTGGCCTACTTCTCCAGCCTCATCTGATTTCTCCTGCAGCTCTCTCCTATTGAGCTCTAGCCACAGTGGCATTCTTTCAGTTCTTCGGCTGTATTATACTCCTTCCTACCACACAGCCTTACATTGTTCTCTTTACCAAGCCTCACCTTTAAGATCTCCACTCTTTCATCATTCCTCAGAGAAGCCTTAAACTAAGTTGAGTCTCTCTGTTCAGTACCCTAAGATATAGCATTGAGCATTGCTCTATAATCTTAGCACTACACAGTTTAAAGCATGTATGTGTATGTGTGCGTGTATGTATATATCTGAAATTATTTGATTAACGTCTGACTCCCTCACTAAATTACAAGCTCCATGAGGGCAAGATCATGTATGTCTGGGCTCCCTACCAAATCCCCATGTTTAGCACAGTGTCTAGAGCACAGAGGCAATGGATAAATATTTGCTGGATAAATGAATGAAAAGGAGCGACCCAAAATCATTTTCTACATTCTAGTATAAAAGTCTGAATTTACGAATAATCCAAGAACTGAGATGTTACAAGGTATAGCCAAGAGGAATCCTAACCTTTCCTTGTCCTTTTCTTGGACCAATGTTGGTTGCTCAGGAAAGATGCCTTGCCATTTTGGTCACAAAATCCACTTCTGGGACTTGCCTGACTGTGCTCCAGGGAGGATCAAAGGATGCATCTATTCAAGTGGTGTGAGTAGTGGGAGGAAAATAGGGCTCTGGAATCAGACAGATGTAAGTACAAAAGTTGGTTCTAACTAATAGCAAACCATATAATTTCTAAGAGCCTGTGTTTCCTTATCTATAGAATAAGGCTCCAAACCAAACCAGAAGAACTGCCCCATAGGGTTTCCAAGGCTGTAAACTTTACAGAAGCAGAATACAGTCTTTCTCCCGCAGAGCAGCTGGTAGGTTCAAATTGCCAACCTTTTGGTTAACAGCCGAGAGCTTAACCACTGTGCCACCAAGGCTTCTAAAATGGGGCTAATACCTAGCAATATAAAGCATCTAAAGGATATAGTGGAGCTCTGGTGGCACAGTGGTTAAGAGCTCGGCTGTTAACCAAAAGGTCGGCAGTTCGAATCCACAAGCTGCTCCTTAGAAACCCTATGGAGCAGTTGTACTCTGTCCTATAGGGTCGCTATGAGTTGAAATTGACTCAATGGTAACAGGTTTGGGTTTTTTTTGAAGAGATATAGTATGTGTCAGAAAAATATTGGTCTTTCTCAAACTTGTCACAGTCCTATCCTTCAAGGTCTAACACAGATATTGTCTCCATGAAGCCCCAAATTCCCTAGCTAGAAAAAATTTCTCCTATTCTCTTACAGCAATTAACTACTGCTCTAATTCTTGACTTAATAGTTATTTGTGATCATCTCATCATTACCATTCCCATCAGATTAAGCTCCTTGGAGGCAGGGCCTATATCTTTTTCATCTTTAAATCTCAAGCTCAAAAGATATTTGCTAAACTGAATTTAATCTAATAGGCTTGAGAAACTTTAAGAAAAGCAAAATTTTACCACTTCCACGCAAAGATCTCCTCAGGGAACTTTAAATTCAACAAGGGTATTCCAAGTTTCTTTGAAGTGATCCATTAGAAATGTTCTGCTTAAATGGTTCAAAACATGTAAATATTACCATCATAACAACAACTATCATTTTTCCAAGACCTACTATGTGACTTGCACTTTATGTATATAATTATTAATCTTCAGAAGAATTCTGCTAAGTGGGAACGATATCTATTTTACAAATAGGGAAATGGAAACTCAAAGAAGATACATCATAGCATGTTCTGGGTCATGAAGCAAGAAAGCTGTGATTTTAATTAGTCTCTGACTCTAAAGCAAAGACCTTCCACTATACAACGCCCTGTTTCACGAGCATGTTCCATATATTACTAGATGCTCATCTTAATGGACTCTTATACAACTAAGACATTCATTAGCCTGACAAAATAATACATTTTTAAAGTCTAACCTTCAAATGTCCTTCGCCTGTGAGGAATTCAGAGTAGCCAGCATCAGTGGCCAACAAACCTACAAACTGCATGCTGGGTCGTTGCTGAATAAAGGCTTCAACAGCTTTATCTGTCACGTGCTTTCTCCCAGAAACATCCAGGGAGACAAGATTGGGTAGGATGGCCTTTTGTTCTAGTAAGCGAAGAGCTATGTCTGATGTGAACTGTTTATCATCTGAAATATCAAGATGATTCAGATGCTTTAGTTCCTGAACAACATCCAGTATCTGTGTAGTTGTCATTTTTAAACATTTCAAGTGGTGCATGGTTAGAGATTTGAGCCGGTCTTTGCAGGCTAGTAGAGCTGTGATATCTGTGATGGAGGTGTTAGAAATGTCCAGGCTTTCTAATCTTGGCAATGAAGCAACTTCAGCCAGGTCTTCATTATAAAAGAGAACATTGGTGATGCTCAAAACTCGAAGGCCAGAAAGCCGGCTGAAGCACCGCTCATAAGGATCTTCAAGGGAGAGAGTTAATGAGTTCAGCACTAGGCACTGGAGATTTTGCTGGATCCATTTGTTACTGCCGAGCCCACTGATGATGTCTGTAATAGTGATGTCAGCATTCACACCTGTGGCATCAAGTTCCACTAACTTGTGGTGGCAGAAAGCTTTCCGGAAAGCAACAGCAGAGATCTTTGCTTTGCGAATGCAAGCTCGCTTTAAGCGCATCTGGTTGCCCCGGAAAATACCAACAGTTCCATCATTCAGTAGACCTGGTGAAAAATAAGCAGCATTTTAACTTCAGAACAGTGTTAAAGAATAGCTAAAATTTCTATCATACTTAATATTTACAAAGCATTCCCATGAAACAGTATCTCATTTAATACACACAACTCCATGAAATAAGGATATTATCTACAATTTATAAATGAGTAAACTGGGGCTCAGAAAGGGATCACAACCTTTCCTTGTCCTTTTCTCGGACCAATGTTAGTTGCTCAGGAAAGACGCCTTGCCATTTTGGTCACAAAATCCACTTCTGGGACTTGCCTGACTGTGCTCCAGGGAGGATCAAAGATCACAGAGCAAGTGGCAGAATCAGGACAATGATAGGCATTACTATTTTACTCACTGATACATCTCATTGCCTTGCTAGACATATGGAAAGTTACATTTCCCAGCAACCCCCTGGAATTAGATGGGGCCATGTGACTAATTCTGGCCAATGGGCTGTAGACTGAAGCACCTAACAGCCAGTACATGAATTTCCATGCTACCTTCTCCTGTTATGGAAAATGAGAAGGCTCAAGTTCCAGACAGTGCAGCTTTATGAGGGTGGAGCCTCCAACAGCCTGGATCCTCGGGTGACCGTGGAGCAGCACCCTCCACGGACTTTCAGAGTTTATGTACCATGAGTGAGGTATAAACATTTGTGTTAAGCTACTAGATCTGTTTGTTTCTCTCAGAAAACCTATCACAAATTGTAATTCTATATATGTCTATTTGCTTCTCACTTATCTGTCTCTCACTAGACTATTTTTTATTTTTCTCTGGAGCTTCTTCTTACACATCATTGGGCTTCTTCTGCACTCACTAGAACTCCTTTCACACACACACATTGAGGATCCTCTGCTAAGAGCCCATGTAAATGCCAGAAAACAGAAATAGACCCTGGGTTAAGATCAATGTTTTTCTTGTTTATGCCACAAAATAAATTTTTATTTTAAAATGTTTTGTTTTTTTATAGCTGAAACTTCAGTCTCTTGGGTTAATTCTTTTTTTCAATTTTTTTTTTTTTATTGTACTTCAGGTGAAGGCTTACAGAACAAATAGTTTCTCATGAAACAGTAGTACACATATTGTTCTATGACATTGGTTAACAACCCCACAACATGTCAACCCTCTAACTTCTCAAACTTTTTTTTTTGGTGAAAATA